AATTTATAAAGATTAATTTTTTTTCATCTTTCAACTTTGTTATTATTTTTGTAGACCACGATTGTCATAAGATCAACGCTCAATTGCTGTAGTCTAATTTTCAAGTTATTTTATTTATTCAAAAATATCTACGTATAACTTTCGATAGTCCGCGTTATTAAACAATCTCCTTATATAGAACATTTGTATTTTATATTATAAATATCTTGAAATTGCCCGAGCTGTGAAATACTAAAAAAATATTTTCCTTTAGAATTATTATTAAAATATATATAATATAATTATATGAAATAATGATTATCTGTTATTTTATCTCCTGTACGGTGATTATTGTCAATGAGATGTTTAATTGCGATACGAACAACTATCAGTAGGTAATTGCTCCAGCCTCTCGGTCGATCTCTGAACGAGCGTGTTTTAACGCCCTAAGCACACTTTGAACGCAACACACATTAACCGACTCTACTCGTACCTACTGATATAAATACCAGTTCGTGATCTCAAATTAAATAAACATTAGTGTTAATATCTTTATTTTACATAATTTTTGCTTTTAAATGATTTAATTTAAGACAACAGTTGCAATATTTATAGTATAAAACGAATACGAAATAAGAATTGCGATGTACTCTGCCTTCGTGTTTTGTATAAAAGTGACATTTAAATATAAATTTAAAGTGCTATAAAGGAAGGCTTTTGTGTCATAATCTGTTTAAAGTTATGGTCCAATCAAATTCAATAATGCATTATTATAAATCAAGTAAATTCGTGTCGTCTTCGGACGGGGAATTCGCTGGGCGCCGCTTCGGGTTTCAAAAGTTCAACGTAGGTGCAATTAAGGACTGTTTACTGGACATTAATTTTTGGCAATAAAAGACGAGCATCCGAAATATGTTCGGCACGTACGATCTTGGGGCTGCGTGAGAATAGCGGCCGCCTTTGTACTTTGTACTCGCAATTAGCAATTTTTTGGTGGCCCGTGTTGAGAGTTGTTATATGTTTGTCTTGGTTCTGATGTAAAGGAAATTCAACCATAATTTGTATATTTATATATTAAATAATGGTTCTTTTTTTTTTGGTTACGAAATTTATGAACACAAGAGATGTAAACGATTAAATTATCAATCTGATTGATCGGTGATTATGCGTGAATAATTTGAGTGACGTTCTTTCGTCGTCATTTGTAAGTCTTAAATTGCATCTTTCTGGTTAAAAGCATTTATTTAAAGGGCGATGACATTGATTTGTAACACGTGATGGTCTTAAATTTCACCGATTAACAGTTCACTGAGCTAAATAATAAATCTTTGTTATATTGATTGAATTAAAGTTAATAGTTATGTATTTGTGTATACGTCATTGTAAGTCATAGCGGCTGCTAGAACATTTAACATTTTTATTTAAAACCTTACATCGTTATCGTCTTTCCCAGCGCTAACTAGATGATTATCTTGTTTATAGAGCTATTAGCTATCGTACTATCGGATTCTGTATCTCATCTCGGCAAAAAGTGCCGTTTTCACTGGCCGACGATCTCGAAGGCCCGCCGTTTCGAGCGCCACGCATAACTCGCAAGGGTTGTGGATATTTAATAGTTTTTCATTATTACTATAACTTGTAATGATTTGTAAGACTTATATGTTAGCAAGAAATAATCTCGTTTCTTATATCTATTTCTGAAGCACATAGATATGACAATATATATTCAATTCTATTAAGAAATGTGTTTACAAAAATTATATATATTGTAATGAATTTGGAGCAAGTTTGACATGATCTGTATTAATTATATATTATGACAGTCGTTTTTATTAAGGACAATCTTAATTCGATGATTAAGACTGTAAAAGCTGTTCGGTAACTCGATTTATATATACAATTTTTACTGACTCGAGATCGTAATAATGTTTTGTATAAAGTGCACTTGATTACTTATAATATTTTAGTTATAGTATATTTTTGTTATTTAAAGTGTTGTATTTATAAACTATTTAATTTCGAATCTTCAATTTCTTTAGTAAATTTTGTATACATACAGTAATAGTTACAGTTAATTCAAATTAATTATCATCAATAATTTGGAATCTAGCAACTATTAACGTACATTGTCCTTATATAAAATTAATTCATTTTCTTATATAAATGTATGTAATATTAATTTTAAATACAAATATATATTTTTTACTCAATTTAATGCATGACGGTGCGCACACCGAATTGCTCCCAATGATTTCTTGCACCTGATACGATCACTTTCTGACTTAACTGGATCACCTGTCGGATAATTTCTCAAAAACTAAATCTGACATCAATTAGTGAACGAACAATTGTATGCTTTATAACGCATAGAATAAGGGTTATTATTCTATTGATAGTATGTGTACTTTATTTAATAAAGGAGTTCGTCTGTCAATCACTAGGTCGTATGTAATTATTATGTTTTTTACTGAACGGATTATATTTCGTCATGATTCAAAGGATTAAGCTAAACATTGATTCGGTAACGCTATGGATAAGTGAGAAAGTACCAATACTGTATTAAATTGATGTTTAATTACGATTTTATGAATACCAGAAAGTTATTATAAAGCTAGTTTAAGGGAACTTTTTTCTTAGTTTTATCTCATTATCTAACTGTTCGTAAAACGTTATTATTTCCCGATATATAAAATCAATTATATCAAATTGAAATAGGAATCGAATTTACTATCGATTATCGAATTAAACTATTACTTTAATAAATCAATTGCTTTACAACATCATAAAAATAAAACATATAATAATCACACCTCTAATTTTTGTATCATACCAATATTTATTTTAATGATTGTTACATTATCTAGAAATTCGAACATTGTCATTATTTACTAATATTACGTATTTAACTTAATATGTATTGTAAATTAGTTAATTTTATTAATGTATATAACTCTCATATATCTAGATATTACGAAAAATATTGAACGTTCAATACTCGTTAACAACCTACACATTAATGATTTTTAATATTTCTTTAAGTATGTTGTTATATAATTGCGAAAATATTATTCTTTTTCAAGATTTTTTTTTGCAAACTTTCACTGTGTCAGTCGGCTATTATGTTGAAGGCATGTCAATCATACATGTACAATTCTCTCCTTTATCTTGTAATGTAATGGATTTTAAGCACATTATTATTACAGTAATACTTATCGATAATTGCTTAATATATTTATTTTTCCATTTTAATTTGGACCCGATCGTTGAGTAAATCGTCACTCGTATTAAGTTTATTTTTGTTTTAAAATTATTTTCTTAGTGTCATCGAATACGTAAAAGCTATAGTTGATAATTCGAGATCATTTCTGTCAGTGAGATCATGCGTCTTACAAAAGGTCTTCAGTAATTGGATGCCATTTCAAGAATTCAATCAACAGAGATACCATATAGCGGTATAAAATATAGGTGCATTGCAATTTTTTAACTTATGTACGTTCCGTGCGAAAATTTCTCTTGATGTCTCGTTAATCATATTAACAACTAAACTCATTAAAGGTACATTTGTGATTGTCCAGTATCCAGTATCTTTTTAATAATATTAAGGTTCATTTTAGGGTGGTCTTTATAATATACGTAACACGAATTCAAAGATAGTCCGCTAATTACTTGTTATCATCAATCATTCATCTGTGACAAGGCGTACGCAGCCTCCTCCGGTCCATCGTTGTAATGACAGTCTTAAGTTTATGTGCATTAGGATCAAATTTGTTTGAGAATGAATTCAATTATCGCCAGATGGCAATTTAAGATGATATAGATATTTAAAATTTGTTGTTTTACACTCCTCAGTCGACGCATTAATACACTATTATACGGTACATGTTAATTCTGACTTTATTGATATATTATCTAGCGATTAATTTATCATTGTTTTAACAGTTTTATATATATTTAACACTTAATCCATCAGAGATTTAAATAGTTTGTTTATCTAAATGCTTACATTGCTTTTTATTATTTTAAATTTAAAACATATAATATAATCTTTGACATCATTATAAACTAAAGTATTTTATATATTGAATTAAATTTAGATTATTAAATATATACAGTATATTCAGATTAATCCTTGATAGGTCATATTATTAGAACGTATTGTAATAAGATGTGTATCTGTTTGTGTAAACTCTCAAACTTAAATTTTCTTAACGTCAATTTAGGCGCCAATTACTAAAGCTGCCGCGTAAAAATCTTCAGCCCTCTTAAATTCTACTCGTCTTAATTCTCATAGTTCGTATAACGTGATGTATAAAGTTGAAAATGGCTTAGCAACTAAATATTTAAATTGTTACGGATCATGTAGGTCGCGGTAGTGGGTGTGATAATTCTAATAGCAAATATAAAGAAGCCGTGAGAGATATTACTCCCGAATGTTAGGTTTACTTTATACAGCGGCGTGGGAGAGTTGAAAGGTCGGGGATATATCGATATATGGGTAAAAATAGCGAAAAATTAGAGCAATCGGTTGAAATAATGTTTTATACTATATATTACCTCACATAACTCTTATAATCTTCTATCTTCTATATATATAAAAATGGATTGCTGTTCCTTAGTCTCGCTAAAACTCGAGAACGGCTGAACCGATTTGGCTAATTTTAGTCTTGAAATACTCCTGGAAGTCCAGGGAAGGTTTAAAAGGTGAGAAAAATTCTAATAATTGCCAGGAAAACCCTAAAAACAGCCCTTTTCTATTTCCCATACAAACGTTTTCTTTGTCATTAGTTTTGACAACAAACTAATATGTCAATCATTCTGTTCGATTGTAACAGGAGAAACCTGATTATTAATGGCCTCTAAAACGGAATAGAGTTCGCCCGGTCAGCTATACATATATTACTAATGACGAAACTAACGCGGACGAAGTCGCGGGTAAAAACTAGTATTAAATATATCAGTGATCACAAATAATGTACTAGGAGAACATAAACATAAAGTAAGTGATATGTTATTTGTTGCAGGCGTACGAGTTATCAACATTGACCGGTACCCAGGTGATGTTGTTGGTAGCGTCTGAAACAGGCCACGTGTACACATTCGCGACGCGGAAACTACAACCAATGATCACATCGGATTCAGGCAAACGGTTAATACAGACCTGCCTCAACTCCCCGGACCCTCCTACCACCAGCGAGCAACGCATGGCGGCCACCGGCTTCGAAGAGACCGAGCTCACGTATAACGTTGTAGACGACGATATGAAGGTGAGGCAATTGGCGTACGCGGGCTCCGGGCAATATCCCATAGAGCACCATCCAGGGTTGGCACCGTCGCCGCTGCAGCAGTACCATCAGCACCCACCATGCCCTTCTCCCATACCTTTGGGCTCGTTGGGACAGCCCTATTCCCACGCTCATTTATCACACCCCCATATGTCGCATCACCCGCAGCGGTAGTTCCGATAGTTGTAGAATCCGTTCTCGATTGGCGTTCATAGATCGATCTCCCTATGTTATTGAGATGATTTGTATCTGGATAGTCACGTTCTAGTTAGTCAGTTGTTATTGAAGTTATAAAGTACTATACATACATTGTAATGTACTTATAAATAGCTTCCAAGTCGTGTTATATTTGCGTGGATTGGACTCGATACTCGATTAACATAGATGTGGTTCGCAGAGCCGTATATCAATGAATAATAAACATTGTTGAATATGTTTATGTAAAGTTATATTACGGATCAATTTAAAACATCTTAATAAATTACATAACAACCGGACGTGCATCATTTCATAGTTATTTACAATAAAAATATAATCGGACAGCACTAAATCAATACGTTGTTTTTATGTAACTTAATAAATCATTTTATTTCGTATCCATCAATAGAATATGATGGACGTTAAAACGGTGTCGAAAGCGATAGATCGGTTCAGTGGCAAGTAATCACGTTTCAAATCCATTTGTAATTAACGTCAAAAACCGGTTATAGGTTTCCGAACGAAGCTTCCGAAGTGGCAGCCGTTTGGTGTGACTATTGATTCGTTATTATGAATGAATCGAGTCTTTCATTCTGGATGTTAGAACGATTCACGATCATCATAATTACTGGCTTCTGAACGCACCTCTAAACATAATTTTATGAGAATCAAACGATATATTTTGGCTACCGTATATATGTTATATTTTGTTTATAACTTAAAATAAAAATTTGAAGATATAGACAGAAATGCTTTATACATCAGTAGATAATACAACTTTTTGTACTATATAAAGTACTTCATAATTATTTCATGATAATGAAAACTGATGCTATAAAACAGATTTCTTACATTATATCATACATAAATCCTTAAATATATGTACTTGCGTTTCCATCATATTAATCTGTATATGGGGAGTATAAACTTGCAAGTATTTGGTTCTAACTATCATTAAATAATGTATCAATTTGTTCAGTCAATATCTACATAGCGATTATTATGTTACCCACTGAGACTTCCCGTTGCTTCAAATATTGCTCTCTTTGATTTGTTCGATAGATTGTTCCGAGTATAAGATAAGGATCTAATATGAAAACTCCTCTTGAGTCTTGTATCTATACGACACGTCTGTAACGTCAAAGCTCATTGTAAACGCTGCATTGTTAAATCTACGTTTGAAATATTCACATAGGTCATAGTAATTATGATTTCCATAGATAAAATACCACCCATGATTTTTTTCCCCTATTGTAGTTCCACGTCAAGTTTTTATAACGTACTAGCTTTCCGCCTGCAGCTTGGCCTGCGTGGAATTCGGTTATACCGCGTTTCTAAGAGAACTTTTCAAAATTCTGGCATAAAAACTATCCTATGTTCTTTCTCAAAGTCAACTCCATCTCTGTACCAAATTTCATTAAATTCAATTCAGTGGTTTAGACGTGAAAGCGTAACAGACAGACGGACAGAGTTACTTTCGCATTTATAATATCAGTAGGGATTTTACGTACTATACTTATGCTATTTTTGTGAATTTTCTCCTTTTATAATCTCCTAGACCAATTTCGTATGTTTCTGTATTCTCGGCGTGTGGGTTAATTCTGTTTAGAATATAAATGTTATTAGTATATTCTTCATGTTCAAGTCTTCAGATGGCCTCATAGGATGCAGATGCATGAATTAGTGGTATAAATATGGAATTCGGTCAGCGCCCTCGCTCATACAGATCTCCTAATCTCGCATTCTTAAACCTGACTGCGTTTCGTAATAAAATTCTGATTTCACTTTCGTTTTACTTGTAGGACATTTTTAGTAAAATTTTTTGTATCAAGTTCTATAGAAGTTTCTGTTCCTAGAAATCTCGAAAATTGAAGCGTTTTGCATAAAATATTCATGTTATATGTTATGGGAAGTATTCCTGATCTAACGTGTCTCTCACCTACCTACTCGTATATTAACTTATCAATACTATTGTTTTGATAAACGCCAAGCCAATTTTTGTTGACTCATCTCATTGTGTAGCGTAATTGTCGGTGCATAAGCCGATTGCTCAACTCTGACTTGATATAACAATAAAGCTAATTTGACTAATAGGTGCCTTGTAATCGTCACCGCGTGTGGTTTAAGGATTATCAACAATATCTACGTCCTATGATACTCTCTGTTTTGCTTGATGAGCACTAGCCCCAGCTATTGTTCTACTTTTTCTATATCTGCATATAACATTGTACGTACACTTGTAACATATAATCCACTCATGATTTAATGCGAAACAGTTCTAACTGAAGTTATATTTATAAAAAAATCGTCATACATCGCTTTCAAGCGCTTTTTTAATATCTTTAACCATACAATGTTCGCTAAATTAACTGATGTTGAAATCAGTCTGTTTTCCATTCTCTGTTGTAATGAAATCTGTACATGAGATTAAGTATCGTAAAGTCTATACTACATAAGAGTAATAATCGATAAACATCGCTATATCGCTATTTGCTCCTCGAATGAAGATATTTTGGTCTCAATTTGTATGGTTCTTGTGACCGAATTATTAACGTCTCGTTAATGGTTCCGCGAACTTACTTAATGAAATTAAATACAGACACAATAAAAAACTTAAAAGCTTTGTCTGTTTGAAAATGAGAATTATAAATAATTTACCATCACAGTCGAAAAATGATTTAGCTTCAATTTTTGGCACATTTAAAGCGTGTATTCGGTTTAGATTGCGCAGTGAGGCCATATATAGGTCATTGAGAGCTGTTTGATGAGAGATTCCGCATCGGCGTTATTTTGAGGCGCGGTCAGCGGCTGAACACGGTATTATTTTAGGAGCTTTCTTCCACTCCTTGTACTATTACGGCAGAACGGCGCTCGAGTTACTGTTGCATAATTCAGACACGAGTCCCGCCGTTTGCATTCCGATACTTGATATGTGCTTTCACATGTATTTATGTACGAGATTTTGTGTCTTCGTAATGTTTTTCGAATATATAAATTGTGTAGCCACAAATACAATGGGCGAGCCGGCGTTCCTCGTTACGTCGGCGAATGTAAAGTCCGAGTTCGCATCTCGGGTCGCCGGATTGTCAGTACTTGAGATATTTTGCGGCAGTTGATGTGACCGCTTATATTGTTGTTCGGAGGTTCGTTACATCAGCAACTCATGCCGCTTTTACAAATTGTCCTAAACGGGTTTCGTGCTTCACGGATCATGCCACAATTTTTATACTTGTATTATTTTTTATACAACTTTAAAACACAGTCTTGTAAAGATATAAATGTTCCAATTATATTTTAGATAGTAACATCATTATCAAGTTATTCTCTCAGATATGATTCTGCACGCATCTCTGGTACAGCAATTCTAATGATTTGCGACGTAGGTCCTCCTTTGTATGCGTTGGGCATCATGACGTGTTTTGTATGCAAGGTGCAACCGCCTTATCCCGTGCCCATCGGATCCAGAAACTTCCGCGACTGACCGGCCTGATTGCTCTAATTGAAATTTATTCGCTGCCTTCCCTAACGCGACCCGATTTACCTTCCTACGCTTAATTCGATAACATATAACATTAATGAATAACTTTGTCGTTGTTATAGATGAGATTATTCTTTGATTATATATTTTATGCAATTAAAAGATTAGATTAATTCAGTCTCATAGTTCGGTAACATAGTCGAAATTTTTTATTATTATTTTGGTCTTAATATTTAATTTTTATTTATAAACCAAGTAACGCTATAGATTAACCTGACAATGTCATGATATTTGGTTAAATTATTCAATATTTTTATTTTCGTCAAATCTATGTAGTTTCTGTTTCATTATGTAATAGTTAATTCCATGTTAGGAAGGGTATGTTTATATGAACGAGCGAATTCTGTACGTTTGATTCTTCGAAACCGTGTCGGCCCACTTCCTAAAACTAGACTGGGAGACGCACATGGTTAAAATTAGGCTCGCCACGAATAGCGTTCGCTGGTTGCGTGCCTCGTCACCGTGCTCCGACCTCACGCGCATATTGTGTTACATGATCTAATCAAATCGCATTTATGTAATTTTGTGGTATTTTTAACAGACTTCAAGAAACACGTGATTTCTGTACTACAAGAGCTCTGCTTGAGAAGTAGGAATGAATTTCGTGTGGTGTTTTCGTTATTTATAAACATTAAACGCGTTTGTAAGTTTGCAATTGATTTTAATATATTAGATTTTAATAAAAAAATTAATAATTACTAGTATTGGTTTGTATTTGAAATGTATGAATGGAAAAATATATATTGTTCCAGTTAGTCTGTATGACAGGTCTTTAGCCATACCCACATGCAAACAATGGTTTCCTGTCAATACTACAGGTTTTATCTTAGGTTCATCCGTTTTGTTATCGTGCCAGCGATCATTTGTATTTTCTGTTTCCATTACACTCGCTAGCTTTCAACGTCTTAATTTTTCACTTGGAACCAGTATTGGCCGTCATCTACCGTGGAAATAGTTCCAGCGTAAGTTGAATGCTTGTTGAGCTTTGACCGTTATCTCGTGGGAAATTATTGTAGTGAGCTAGCGCGGCTTTGTTGGGATGATTGTCCACTACAGTGGTGTAGATGACGAGATAGGCTTTGCTTGGAGCCTGCCCGTGACAGCTATGGGAACAAAGCGGTGTGTGCACGCCTATTTAGATGATATTGTCATACACTACAAAGGGGATATGCCCAGTATTAGCCTATATCGTCTCGTTAGACTGTTACTTGCACAGTTTTCCTCGTTGTATTGTCAACTGACAATTCTAAATAATAATTTAAATACAGTTCCGTTTTCATCTCGTAGTTGGAGAGATATTTCTTCTAAATGCGAAAGCTATTGAGGTCACTCTGTTCATATAGTTCGTACAAGACTTTTTTCATTCCTTTCTTTCTTGTTAGCCGTGTATCACTTTGCAAGTAATGTATTCGAAGTGCGTACATCGCTAACTCGAGGCCATTCAATACTAAAAACAAATCAGTGTTACCGACTCTATCCATCATACTTTTTCTATTGATCGTTACTTGTGCTTACACAAACAAAGCGCTTTCAAATGGTAATCCTTAGAGCGTGCCTTGAATTGGTTCCGCAAGACTTCGTGGGAAATATCCTATAGCACTTTCAATATTTACACTGTATAATGTATTCGTTGAATTTTAGAACATTCATAATCTCTTTGATTAGTTTTTGTTTTTTATATATTTCTTTGTTTTTATGTATGACGTTTTAAAACAATTGACCTTATATGGCCACCTACATCTTGTGATATAACTGGATTACGTCACACGCGTGGGTGAAGTCCTTCCGAATTGGTGGCGCCAATCGGCTAGTGCGTTTCCTATCGACAAGAGACTAACTAGCTTATTTTGTATCGACATATTGAATTTAGATTGTAACAAGCACAATCAATAGATAGTTTAGAGACGTTTAATTCGCTCCATAAGTATATTATTAATAATAATCATAATCAAATTCTTGGTACTTATTAAGTACTGGATATAAAACGCTATTAAAAATCAAGTTAAATCATGAGCAAGTCCTCATAAATCTTGTTGCAGATTTAACAAATGGCCACGCGCACCTTTGCTAGATGATAAATTGGATTGATATTTTTGCGAAACTTTAATATTAAAATTATTTATATAATTTGAGCTTATATGGCGTTTATTGTATATATAAGGTAGGAAAATTATGCCCTAACCAGTGACCGTAGAGTTGTAAAGGTGAGGTTAATATTTTAAGAAATTTACTACAGAATTAAACTGTCCTACCCAAGATTATAGAAACGCAGAGACATTTATTAAATAAAAAAATAAATTCAGATAATTGCTTGCATATCATATAAGTAATAATTAAAATTTTTGTTCCAATTCGTAATTGCCCCGACGCATGCTCGAAAAAAACGTGAATGGAATATCAATATACTAAATAATTTTGAAATACCTCAGAGATTATGTGAATGAATTATATTTTATATGAAAAAAATAATAATCGTCCGTTGATTTCGATGTTCCGTTGCGTCATTCCGAATCGAAAGTGGTCATAAAATTAAAGCCTTGGCAATGTTATATCAAGATTTGTTGATCTGTGACATTGTGATGTTTTTCTATCCCGTTTTGGCTGGTTATAATTTTGTTATGTGTAATAGAGAGGTAAGATCTTCAATGTTGCTCTCACTTCCGTCCGCCTACGGGGGCACGACTGACGCCCACGCTGGTACCTTAAAAATTGCGAATTCGTGGTCTTTTGTGTTGCTATATAGCTAAAATTCCGTGACAATTTATTTAAATAACATCACCGTATTTGAAATTTGTATGTTGAATTATATTTTATGGTAGCAAATAATTTTGTAACCGGTACAGCTATTATATGACATGTAGGTTAAAAAATATAATGTCAAAGTTATGATTAACCAACGATTATTTGGTTAGTAACCAAAGATGTTCTAAATTGTGACAGTAATAAGATGACATCAATACGTAGGTGTCGCAGGAGAAATCTATATATCGTTGCATTTTCTTACTAAATTCGTTATTTATGTTATGACTTCATGTTTTCGTCCCAAAATGATATCGGATCTGTATTTTTTTTTTGTAATAACGGTTCAGTCCACATTTAAAAGTCACGGTCATCAATAATCATTTTTTGTATCAATAACATCCGATGTCACAAGATTATAATAAATTTTACTTAATTTTACCAATTTTAAGATCATTTTCTTCATGTATTTAATTTTGCACGTATTCAATTCTAGTCTTATTATTCATTTTAATTTGTTGTATGAAGTTGATGTATAGATAGTCCAATCCTCGTTAAATGTATGAGAGGTTCGTTGCAGAAACATCATAAATGGTTGATATATACATAGTAGTCAGAATAAGGAGGGAATAAACATATGTATAAACAAACGTGACTCGATTTACCAAATCAAAAGACGCGAGGCTTAGCTGGCTTAGAGCATTTCAAGTTTTGCTATGTAATTTTTTTTTATATTCGTTTATCGCGTATTTTTACTGTAGGATTTTACTGTAATGCATTTTACTCGGTTAATTGTCAGGCCATTAATAAAGTGCCATCGTCTGTATAGTTGTAAGTACAACGAGGTTTTCAAAGCATCGATTAGTTTAAGTTAGAATCTTTTATATCTCATTCCAATCATCATACTGAAAATCATTCCAACCACTAATCATATCACCCGGTTCTGTTCATACTATCGCTGCAGCGGTTACGGTGCGTAAGTTTTAGGTGATCTCTTTACAATAAATTTTTTTTCTGATATATTTTATATTTAATGTTAAATCTTAATATATTTTTTATACTGTAGTTAATTATAGCGGTCGGTTTGTCCGGCCTTCTGTTTATATTGATACCTGTATTGTTGTAACATAACATTCCCAGTATGCGCTTAACATATATGACCGTGTTTGGGATCCATCCGACGTTTAATATTTAAGGCATGATGTGTGTGTGTGTTTTGAACGACTTACACATAAAATATCTATTGTATGAGTAAAAAAAATCGGTTGGCAATTTGTTAATTTCAATACAAATTATATTGGTGCTATACACTATCAATTTTGATATTATAAATGTTTAATGAAATGCCAATCGATCATGTTGTTTGTAACAAGAGATTGAATTTTAAAACAATAATAATGAATTAATGATTTAGTTGTTAAGTAATTAGTGATGTATCCTAACAATACGGTGTCGATAAAAAGACTGGACATGTGTCTTCATAGTGCCTTACACGAACACCTAAACGGGTGATATTACGTACTTAATATGCGTCCGATAAAATAATATCCAATATAAAATCAAATTAATTGGATTCTATTAGAAATAAGATAAAAAACTGTACGGACGAGGTGTTCTAAACTGTACTTTAGTTAACCAAATCCTAGTCCGCGCTTGTTTTGAATACTCAAAACTCATCTTTGATATCACTTAAGTCATGACACTATCCATTCATATAGTTCTATGAAATATAAAATGAACAACATACCCGAAACTATTTAGAATGTACCTAAGAAATAGTTTAATGTTATTGTTGTTTATTATTATTATTTTATATTTACATTGTATACGAATTTGTATATAGTCGGTGAATCTTTTGAATGAGAATTATGTGTTACATTTAAAAACATATATTTAAACATGAAATTAAGTTTCGGACGGGTTATCATTGAGCTTTGAACAGTATTCATCGACACTTGATAAATGCTCGAGCAATAATTCAATTCTCGTTTAAAAGGTTCCCCACGCACAGCCTCTCCAAACAGGCCACAGTGCATTTGGAGTAAAACATATTTCAACAGTTTAATTACTGTTACACAATTTACATGTAAAAATAATGTACTTAAAACATCATAGCATTAAGAAATGACAATTATAAAATATTTGTGAAGTAAGTTATTTGAGACAATAAGTATTGAAACATCGAAAGCTTTAGATCTATATAGAATCTATTGGGCATAATATTTTTTGAACTTTTTTATAGTATTAAGTGGTTCGTGAACCAGCTTGTAATAAATTATTGCGTCCATAATATTTTTTTTAATGGTTAGTGTACTTGTAAAAGTCACTAGTGAATTCGTAATTTCAGAAGTGATTTAAAAGGCAATGTGATAGATGGTATACCTAAAGACGCTAGATCATTGTTACTGTAAAATACAATATTTTTTTTGTAAATATGTACAATAGAGTAACTACATAGGCGATTATAATTTTAATACTAGATGCAATGTTGTACAATTTTTCTATTTAAATATTTTTTTTTTTTTGAAAGATTTAATCTAATCTATTTTTAATAATGACCTATTTTATCATTTCGAATAATTTATAATATGTGTACAATGTCTTAGACAAATGGAGGGAAACATTAAAGAAATTATAAAAAATAATAAAATGTTAAAAAATTGATGAGATTTTGTATTATGATTATGTTTTAAGTTACCTTACCTTGGCGGGTCACCACTGTCGGATATTTTGTGGAAAATGTTCTATATTAGGTCCTGTGTCGTACATTAAGTTTCTATTTACTGTTTCCGATAAGAAATATTTACAATAAACAATTTGTTGGTATTAACAACTAAATGTGAAACTTGATGTACGGTACCGTTGAGTTATATGTAGTTAGGGGTGGTATCCGAGGGGCCCCATTTAGAATACCTCTCTATTTCATGGGCATACATCACATGACTTAAAGGCCTAAAGTCTTGTGGGCGCATCCCATGGAATTTTGGTGTATTTTAATATCGGATGCCACCAAGTGGACCATACAGGATATTTTTCCTTTTAATTTAACGAACCGCGCAATGAGCACCATAATAAATTGCATGATATAAAATTATATCCGATAGTGTTTGGTTTTATCGACAATAAATCGACCCATTCGATTTGCCTCGACCGCCGGTGGGACGTCCCTGGAGGGGTATTTTCGGAGTGGTCATTTAATAGTATTTTAAGTACATCGATACCAAAAGCTTGCGGCACATCCCTATAATTAGTTTTACTTTCCTGCATCGTATATTTAAAGCGTAAGTTGCTGTTATTGATCAATAATCTTCTGTATGGTGATGGTTGGTACTTGGTTTTGGTATCGAAGTTAGCATTTTATACATAGACTAAGATTGGCCAATCTTTTCATCTGAAAATTAAAGTGAATAGAACATTCAAGATCGAAGACGTCTTGAAGGTAAGTGGTTTTTTTTATTTATATAACCAGATTTTTTCTTTACAACTAACAAAATTAAAAACTTTTTGTTGCCTGTTTTTCGATGTGCTTTTTCAGATTTACTACGTGCAGGTATCAATTCATGTACAGAAATGTCATTGAACGAAATAAATATACACATTCAAAGTATTTCGAAATTGATAATTTGCATATTTTACGACAAGAGAAAACAAATATAACTTTTATAGGTATATAAAAATGCAAATGTCTCTACAACACAGAATTTATTTGATGTTTTAAAAATATATTCCCATTCAATTAAGTGTT